GGCAGCTCGACGGATTGGCGCAATTTCTAATCCAATCCTATACTTTTCGGAACAAACAGTTGGCGCGTTTTTTTCACGTGGTTGGTGCTATTTCTTTTTTATTTCTTTTTTTTGACGGGTGGTTGGTGGCTTGGTGCTATTTCTTATCTGTATTCAACAAATCAAAGACTGTGATTTGCTAGGGTTTTCCCAAAGTTTACCCGATCTACACCAATTTCCACCTGATTTCTCACGTTAAATTGATCTTCGGCCGATCCTTACATGATCAACCACACCAAAGCTACCTAGGAGTGCTGGCTCATGGCTGGTAAGGCGGAAAACATGCCCTCAACGGAGAAGGCGTCTGGCAGTGGCGGAGCAGGGGGCTCCCGTGATAGGGATTGCAATCTGGAGGACCCTTTTTATGGGCTGAACCTCCATGGGGAGGAGGATGGGGACCTTGATCTCTCTGGTGATGTCAAAGGGTTGATTGAGGAAACAAGGTGGATAGCGGTTTTTAGGGTTCATACCCAGAGACCCTTTAGCCACACGACACTGTTCAGATCGCTACGCAATGGTTGGGCACCGGCCCAAGGGGTGATTTTCAAGACGAAGGATGAGAACCTCTTCTTGGCACAATTCATGTGCCTGGGGGACTAGAACTGGGTGACGAACAATGGCCCGTGGCTATTCCGGAACGCTGCAGTGGTCCTGGAGGAATATGTTGGCATAACAAATGTCCATGAATACAAGCTCGACAGAATACCAGTGTGGGCTAGGATTGTTGGATTGCCAGATGGACTGATGAAGAAGAAAGAAATTGCAGAGAAGATAGCGGCGAAAGTAGGGAACCCCCCGTTCAACGTGATAGTGAATGAAGGCAAGATTAATCCTAGGAAGTACCTTCGGGCCTGGGTGTTTGTGAAGCTAGATACCCCGCTGGTGCGTTTTGTTCCATTAACCTTGAAAGAGAGGAAGAAGTATCCAGTGGAGTACGAAAAACTTCCTGAGTTCTGTGATTTCTGCGGTCTCATAGGACATACAGTTTTGGAGTGTGGTGATGGTATACACAAGGAAGAGGAATGTGAATGGGGTGAATGGCTATTGGTGAATTTCGATACTCGGTTAAACCGTGGGAATGGTAATGGCGCTGGCCGCGGAGGAGGAAGAGCGGGCAGAGGTGGAGGCACTGATGGGGAAGAGGCAAGAAGGAAGACCTGAATCTGGAAGTTAGTAATGACATGATAATCCACCCGAGGTTTGATAATAATTTTGGTGCAATGGTGTCATTAGCATGTAAACACCTAACCGGCCTGGATGGTACTGTTTTTGAGAGACCTGCAGGCCCGGTAAATCCTCCACTCAGGATTGTGATTGACAAAGTAAACCTTATTGAGAGTAAAGCAGCTGAACCTGTGGATAAGAGTTTACTAAACACCCCGCAGAAAATACATGATCCTAAGAGGTAGAGGGCTGACCCCAAGTGTGTCAGAGGATGGAGCAGCACATCAATCGGCGACCTCCCTCGAGGAGGATCACCGGGCACAATGACAACACTAAGTTGGAACTATCACGGTATGGCCAGTGCCACGACAGAAAGAGCTCTTCTGGATATCCAAAAGCAGTGGGGGCCGGATGTCATCTTCTTGTCCGAGACACATCTGAACACAGATAGGGCAATCAAACTGATGAGAAAGTTGAAAATGGACTGGGTGGAGGTTGTGCAAAGCGTGGGAGCTAACGGCAGTTTACTCCTTTTTTGGCGTAATCCCGTTGTGATTAACATAAAAGATAAGCCAAGGAATTTCATTGATGCAGTGGTGGGAGGGGCACCGAAAGAGCAATGGAGACTCACGGGATTCTATGTGAACCCAAGTGGAAAAATAAACACTTGTCATGGAGCTGCTTACATGGTCTGCACCAACAGAACCAAATCCCATGGGTGGTTGTTGGAGACTTCAACGAGATTTTATACTCGCACGAGAAGGGGAGGGTGCATTGAGGCCAGTTAGTATGATGCAAAACTTCAGGATGCACTGGTTGATTGTGAACTTGAGGACATGGGTTTTGTCGACGAGCAATTCACATGGAGAAGACACAGATTGCGGGAACGATTGGATAGAGCAGTGTGCAACGGAGCTTTCCTTGGCTTGTTCCCTATTGTTGTAGTCACAAATGCAGCCCACACAAAATCAGATCATCGGCCGGTGGTGATAGACTTGGAAGGTGCGGCAGGTATGGACCAGCAGACTTGTTCGAGACCAAAACAATTTGAAGTTCGCTGGTTACAGGAGGAGGAGATGTAGCAGAGGGTCACGGGGGCTTGGGATAGGACATGCATGTCTGATTGTCTGGCACGTCGCATGGCGGCGGTCCACCAATACCTGCGCAGATGGGATCGGGAAGTCCTGAAAGCACCTCACTATCGTTTGAAGGAACTAAAGGAGGAATTGGAATCGCTACGATTGGGGCCGCTCACTGACGAGTCGGCAGATAGGCAGCGCTGCATACTGATTGAGATTGAGGAGACCATGGAGAAAGAGGAGATTTACTAGGTCCAACGCAGCAGGGCTAATTGGTTGAAGTTTGGAGATAGAAACACAAATTACTTCAACAATTTTGCGTTAGTCCGGAAAAATAGGAATTTATTCAGCGACTAATGGATGAAAACGGTGGATGGCAGGAGGATAATGTGGCGATGAAAAATATTACAAATACTTATTTTCATAATCTTTTTACTTCAGTGGTTGATGTACTGAATATGGATGTGATTAATAAAGTGACACCGCATGTTACACCCTATATGAATGAAGCGTTACTGGCACCGTATACCGAAGAAGAAGTTAAGCGTGCCCTGTTCAGCATAGGTGACTTGAAAGCGCCGGGGCCTGATGGCCTACACGCATTTTTTATAAAAAAAATTGGCACTTGTTGGGAGATGCTCTAGTGAAAGAAGTACTTGAAGCGGTGAATACTGGAATTATTCCTGAGGGCTGGAATACCACTACTATTGTCCTAATTCCGAAGGTTGACGCTCCAGAGAAGGTGTCTCAGTTAAGACCTATAAGTCTATGCAACGTTGTTTATAAGGTGATATCAAAGATGCTCGCAGCAAGACTAAAGGTTTTCCTCCCTAACATTATTAGTGAGACACGAAGTGCCTTCATACTTGGTTGGATCATAACAGGCAATGTGATCGTTGCATATGAATGTCTCCATACTATGAAGAAGAAGAAGAAGCAGAAGAAGAAGAAAAAGGAGGAGGAGGAGGAGGAGGAGGTTGCGAACTGCGCAGAAAAACTTGATATGCACAAGGCCTATGACAGGGGCGAATTGGTTTTTCTGAAGGCGATACTTGGCAAATTGGGCTTTGATGAGAGATGGATTGATCTTATTATGGCATGTGTGACTTCAGTGGAGTAAAAAGTGCGTTTCAACTCAAATGAGACTGCACCATTTTATCCCACAAGAGGTTTGAGACAAGGGAACCCCCTGTCCCCCTACCTTTTTCTATTATGTGCAGAGGGGCTCTCAAACTTAATTGCTTTTGAGGAAGCCGCGGGTAACCTCAAGGGTGTCCAGGTGTGTCATGACTCTCCTATCATATACCACTTACTCTTTGCTGACAATTCGTTGATCCTTATGAGAGCAGATGCAGATAATGTGAACACATTAAAAATGATATTGGATGAGTACTGTTCGGCCTTTGTACATATGGTGAGTGCAGCAAAATCAACGATATATTTCAGCTCCAGTACAGATGTTGAACGTAAAGTGGAGGTGTGCCAATTTTGGACATTATGACTGAATCTCTGTCCGATAAGTACTTGGGTCTCCACTCCATGATTGGGGTAGACCGTGTTGATTGTTTCAAATATATTATAGAAAGGACCCAGAAGATGATAAATGGGTGGAAGGAAAGAAGGCTATCTTATGGTGGTAAGGAAGCACTGATCAAAGCGGTGGCCCAGGCCATCCCTACGTATGCGATGAGTGTGTTCAAATTCCCGAAGAAAATATGTAAGGGGATCACTGACGCCATTTTGCATTATTGGTGGGGTGACGGTGAAAACCAGCAGAATGCATTGGTTTGCCTGGTAGAAGATGTGCATTCCGAAGGAAAGAGGTGGGATGGGTTTCCGTGATATACACAACTTTAATTTGGCGCTTCTGGCAAAGCAGTGCTGGAGACTCATTGAGTACCATGACTCGCTATGTGCGAGGGTCCTATGGGCGAAATGCTGCCTTAGTGGCGAATTACTCAATGGCAGTTTGAAGAAAGGCTCTTCCTTTGTGTGGCAGAGTATTTGGGCAGGAACACAGACTTTCAGGAAAGGAAGCATTTGGAGGGTGAGAAATGGTCTTGAAATAACTATATGGGAGGATTGTTGGGTGCCAACAGCTCCTCCAGGAAAATTGCCACTCCACGTGGGAATCGAGTGCTAACCTGGGTTAATGAGCTCTTTGATCCAGTATCCGGAGAGTGGGATGAGAATCTTATCAGAGATAATTTTTTGCCCATTGATGCTGACCGCATATTGCAAATCTTGTTGCATCAGGATGATACCGAGGATTATGTGGCATGGCACTTGACGAAGTCAGGACTATTCATCGTACGTTTTGCCTATTATAAATAGTGGGAAGACTCATGTGGCAGTACAAATCTCATTGCATCATGTTTCTTATTATTTAGTTCGTGGAGCAAATCATTTTGTGCTTTAAGCACTTGTTCTACTTGAGTGGTAATCATAGAAGCATGTTTCCTAATGAGTTTCAGTTCACCTTTAACTCTAGACATATAATCACTCAAGTGTTTAGTCATATAAGCATTACATTTCAATTGTCTACGAACATAAACATTGAAGTTTTCTTGTTTAGCCATAAAGTCATCAAACTCATCC